ATTTCTAGATTTGTACTTAATCTGTTGCACTTGAATATCATAGCCTTTTAGCATACAATATCTTCTCAATAAATAGCTAATTAAATCTTTCGAGAATAATTAACTAAATAAGGCAAGAACAATAGATTAACCATTCCAACATTAATTTAACATAAAAAATAAACAACCAAACTAGTCCGGACCCAGAGATCCGGACCCTAACTCATACTATGCAAACATAAATTAAAATAGCATTTTATTAAATAAAGAAAACTTACAACCTCCGTAAAAGCGGAACATAACAGATCTGGAGTCAAAACCTCCGGAAAATACTTCAAACTAACTACTAAAACTAATATACAAGCTAAAATGGAGACGGGATATGTAAATCCCGAAGTTGGGATGGAATGGGATGATAAAAATGAGAGGGATCGAGCTGTATTTATAGGAATGGATCCAAGGCGTCCAAGTCCAAGCGTCCAGATCTGGACGCCTGAGCTGTCCCGGCCAACCAGGTATTGCCACGTGTCATTCTTGGGCTGCAATTAAGCTGAAGCGTCCAACTCCCAAGCGTCCAACTTGGCCAAGCGTCCAAGTTGGACGCCTTAGGCCCTTCCTTTGTTGGGCTTCGCGGCTGGTTCGTGATTTCGGCCCAATTTCACTCCGTTTTGGCCCCGAACACTATTTTTGATCTCCTGGAAGCTCGTTCAAGCCCAAATCTTGATCCTTTGATGAGTTATTCCATTTTTCTCAAGTATTTGAACATAAAATGGATGATTTATGATAATTTCATGTGGAATCCCTTTTCATGACTCTTAGAACGAAAATGAGAGTTTTATTCATTGAAAACACATTTTATGAGATGATTAAATACTATTTACGTGCAATAACGTTTAGAATATGATGTAAATGATAAGAACGAAACGGACTTATCACTTCCCATCGCTGGGTGGGAGGTTGACTTTCAAATAAGGAAAGAATTAGCCTTAATTGACTCCCAACGGTCATGCCTTCCCATCGATGGTTAAGCCTTCCCATCGCTGGGTTCCCATCGATGGGTAAAGCTTCCCATCGCTGGGTAAGGGCATTCTGCCTTGTGGTAATGTTGCACCAAGGCTTTAACATCGATGGGTAGAACTTCCCATCGCTGTTTGGCATGGTTCTGGAAATTGGTTTGGCTAAGGGACTGCTTACCCATCGATGGGAAGATCTTCCCATCGCNACCAAGTCAACACCGTACACGGGTGGTTTTCGCCAAAAGACAAAACCGAAAGGTGGTTTTCATGATGTTTTGATTGGAGAACCATTTAAATGCATTCAAAAACAATTCCCATACAAAAAGACTTGAAAACCATTTCGTTTAAGTAAAAACCACGGCTAGCCAAGTTTATGCCGTTTCGCGTGGTTTTTATCAAACGACAAAAAACGAAAGGTGGTTTTTGAAGTGTTTTTTATGGAAAACTATTTAAATGTGCCCAGAAGTAAAAACCAATCATAAAAAGTTGAAAACCACTTGGTTGGTTCGGACACCAAAAACCAACGCCGAAAACCGAATGCCGAACGCCGGTTTCTGAAACCTGAACGCCGGATGGCTTGGTTTGGGTCGGTCTTGATCACATTGTGACCGACTCAACGACGCTAAAGACTACGGTCTTCATTCTTGCTCTCTTTTAGCTCTTGTTCTCTTGCTTTCTTCTTATATTTATTTCTTGCCTTGTATATTCAACAACTTGTCTCGTTCACGGCGGTTTGGCATTATCAAAACCTGTCATAAAAACGAACACGGCTTTAGTACGAAAACACGATAAACCCGTGTTTCAACAAAAGTGCTTAGATGAACAGTTCCAAAAGTCAAAACTGGACGAATACTCCGGGACAGAGGGAGTATTTATTATTATTATTATCATCATCTTTTTTGTTATTATTATTCTTATTATTGTTGTTGTTGTTGTTGTCTTTAGAAATATCATAACGTAGTAATTTTTTTAGAAATCACCTTAAATAGGACTAAAACATAGAGAAAAGTACCAAAATTGGACTTTCATGTTTTTTTCCCGAAAGAAGACTTTGCACTGTGGTAATGTGACTTTGCACTGTGGTAATGTGGCAGTGTACATGTACACATTACTGTACTTTTTTGGTAATATATATGACCATGTTTGGTAATGTAAGTCCTATTTCGGGAATAAAAACATGGAAGTCCTATTTTAGTATATTTTCAATGTTTTAGTCCTACTTTGGTCTAGGGTTGTAAATGAATCGAATATTTTTTGTTTGATTCGTGATTCGTATTCGTTTAAGGTGATTCGTATTCGATTTTTTCAAATCTGAATACGAATACGAATTTGAATAAATATTCGAATCCTTATCGAATACGAATATGAATCAAGGGTATTCGATTCGTGAGTTTGACAAATATATTCGGGATATAAATCTAATTATACAAATTATATATATATATATATATATATATATATATATATATATATATATATATATATATATATATATATATATATATATATATATATGAAATGGTTATAAAATATTTTAAAATTTAAATGAATTGAATATTTTTAAACGAACCGAATATATTTAAACGAATCGAATATTTAAACGAACCGAATATGTTTAATATATTAAACGAACCGAATACGAATCTTAAAGAATATTCGAACCGAATTCGAATTCGAATCCGAATATCACTGCATCTTAACGAATATGAATATTTTTCATGAATATTCGATTCGATTCGGTTCGTTTACAACCCTACTTTGGTCTTTCTCCCTAATTTTTTTCTTCAAATCTAGGTCAATGTTTACGAATTTTGACCAAGAAAGTCAATTGAGAAGAAAATTTTGTTGTAGCACCGGCTTTATGATTCCCAAAAAAGATACTCCATAATAATAATAAATAAAAATAATAACAATAATAATGATTACTCTATAGTACCGGCTTATGGTTCTCAAAAAAATTGATAATAATAATAATAATATTAAATAAAAATTAAAATAATAACAATTAATAATAATAATATAATGATAATAATAATTCTAGTGTAGCACCGGCTTTACGATTTAAAATATAATAATAATAATAATAGAAATAATAATAATGATAATAATAACAATAGTAATAAGAGAAATTTACCTAAATAGAACTAAAAATAATGACTCTCTCAATATAGGACTATATGTTTTTATTTTTCAATGTAGGACTTTTGGTCATTATCAATTAGTCATTATTTAAGTAAATGTCCATCATCACTAAACATAATTAAGTCCTATTTAAGGAATAAAAAAGTTTAAATTTTCCATTGAGAAAAAACTTATGTTTTAATCCTATTTAGTAGAAATAAAAAAGGGATGAGGCGAAAATCACAAAGAAAGAAAAAGTAAAATTAATTGAACTAGCCCATTAAACTTTTGATCTTGGCAAACTTGAAAACAGTCGATGTAGATGGTTGAGGATAAGATGGTGTTCAAAAGTGATTTTTTAGACACGTGGAACACAAGCACTAATTAGACAAAACAAAGGAGTTTTTGTTAGAAGCGAAAAGGGTCAGGCTAGACTTACACAAAAAATTGTACCTCATTTGTATACCGCAGTTATACACAAACATTTTGATGGTTTACACCGACACAAGTGTTGGTGCGTTAACAAAAATTTACATGAACATAAAATGTTGGTGCGTTAACAAAAATTAGTTTTACACCAACATAAAATGTCGGTGCAAACCTGCGGTGTACAAAATGGGGGTACAAATAGCTTTATCCAAGCGAAAATGCTATCTTCCTAGTTTTCTATCAATTCTAGGGATTTGTTGGAAATTAAAAAGTTAGTTTTTTATACTCCCTCTGCACATAAAAACATGGAAGTTATTGATTTTTAAGAGATTTAAGAGAAGTGTATTTTGGTATTAAATTTTCAAAAAAGTCCTTTAATGTGATGGGTAAAAGTAGGATTTCATGTGTAGATTATTACGGAGTAGTAAAAAAGTAAGATTTAATAGGTAGGGTATGAAAAAGTAAGATTTTATAGTTGATTTCCAATTTTGCCCCTGATGTGATTGGTAAAAGTAAGATGTGATGGATATATTATTAGAAATAAAGTATGATGTGATAGGTCGGGTATAAAAAAGTAAGGGTAAAAGTAGTTTTTTAATAGAAAATGGAAGTGTTTTATTTGAAGTGGAAAAAATGAAAGAGGAAGTGCTTTTGAAAACGGAGGAAAAGTTATTTTTAAGACTAGAAACAATTTTATGCTTTAAAAGACATTGTTTTGTGCATAAAAATGTTAAAATAAACAAAAAGGAGAATTTTGGGCGGGATCGGATGAGAACTGGACCAAGTGCATACCCAGACGGGTAAACTTGGACCCAAAGTTACATTTTGGGTATTGAAATTAAAACTTAAAACGAAGGAGAGATAATGGAGGCTGGATGATAATTATTCGTACACTAGTAATTTAACTCGTGCCACGCACGGGTCGAACAGTTTTTTTTTTCTGTATTGTTTTTTAATGTTACTGAGTAAAAAATTTAAAAAAATCTAAAAGTGACACCAAAACTTATACGATGGAAATAATAGATAACATGTGCTCATGAAAATTATTTTAGACTTTATTTGGTATACAAAATTAAATTTGAAATGCAACACATGACCATTAACTATAATAAAAATCAATATCATTTAAACAATTATCATGTTTCATAATCAATGATGATATAAAATTGTATGTTTTACTTGTTCCTTTTTTATATAAAAAATCTTCCAAGTTCAAAAAGTTATTGTTACGGATCAAACTGTTGCCTCAATTACGCTGTCATTTTAGTATATTCGTTCAAGCATTTCAACTATTTTAGTATGTTCATTCAACCATTTTAAACTATTATGAAGGATCATATAGTCATATATGGCACGAATCAAGAAAAGAAATTAAAAATGAAAAAAATTAGAATCTTAAATTTCAATTTCAATAACATGTAATTCCCACAATTGAGATATAATAAGCAAATAGTATCTGAGTAACAAAAGAAGCTTTTCTCTATACAGGTACTCTCTCCCTATGTTTACCCATCCCTAATTCATCTTTGATATGCCAAATCGAAAAGTTCCCACTTTTCTATGAGTAATAGTGGCTGCAGCACCATACCGAGCTTTGGCCGCTACAACAGGTTATTGGGGGAGCTGACTGCATCAGTGTGCATAATCAGTGAGTTCCTTCATGCCTGCTCAGGTCATAAAGGCATACTACCTCCGTCCCACTCTCTTTGTCCACTTTTGACTTTTGGAACTGTTCATCTAAGCACTTTGACTAATCAAATTCTCTCAATGTGTAAGCCTAAATATAGTCATGTGTGATCTTGTTTGATTTGTCTTAACATATAGATTATTAATATATAATTTCTATAATTTTTTAATATACAACTTACAAGATAAAATGGATTAAAGAAGTGCATTAGATGGTGTGCCAAAAGGTAAGTGGACAAAGAGAGTGGGACGGAGGGAGTATTTGGTATCAATGGTGATGGCAACATCTGGTGTCAATTTTGGACCCATTCCATAGTGAAGCATTCTACAGCAAAGCATCTGATGTTTCATGGGTGAAGCAGAATTAGACAACTCATGATTTTCACTTTTTGCATCAGGTCTTTCATGCTATTTTGCCACCCTGCATTCGTGACCATATTTCCAGTCTCACATGGTAATATTTGGGCCACAACTTATCTTCTCTTCGCTGGTACAGGTTCATGATTGTATGGATTAGAAACAGAAGAGAACAAAAGCAATGTAAATATGGCAGGAATGAAAGAGAGTGTTGATACCTGGGTATGTCCTCTATTGTGATTGCAAGGTTCTTAGCAGACTTCGCGCTAGGAACTTCATTAAATTTTCTATAGTTTCATTTGCAAGACTTCCCTGCAGTTTGCCAGTCTTTCGAATTACATTGTTTCTTAGGAGGGGTTGTAATAGAATTGTAATGTATTCAAGAAGGAAGGGGTTCATAATTAGAAAATTTATGAGAAAAAAGACAAAGCCTGTTTATTTTGCATATTATTGAGGGATCTTTCTACCATGTCATTCCTCATGTGAACCAACAATTACAATAATCAGTACTAATAATAAAAAGCTGTTGCAGAACTAAGTTGTAGATGGTGAGGCAGAGCTACATCCTCGTGAAATAGTATCCATTAAAGGTTCCCTAAGAAGGTTTGTTATTGAGTCCACCTAATGAACTATATTTTTGCCAAGGAATTAGAGCTCTCCACTAAGAACTTCAACAAATATACAACCACTACTTCACTTAGGTTGAGATTGTATGAACAAATATTACATTCTAATAGAGTTATTAAGCACATGCCACAATCTCTATGCACATACACTCTTGTCTGCATTTTTAAACAAAAGTCAAAAGCTATACAGAAATTGAAATAACATGTAAAAAGTGATACTCCGTATTTTTTTACGCCAACAAAAGTATTTTACCCAAATGATATGTAAAATTATTTTTATTAAATACTGAATTTTATTAAAAATGCAAATTTAGATCAAATAAATATATAAAAGATAAACATTTAAGAAAGTTACCCTGTACGTTCCATGATTTTGCTATCCAGTTTGTGCGCTCGCGTTTGTACCTAGGAATTATCCACAGTTGCTTGCCACGCCTTCCACCAATTTTTCAGTGACCTCTCGCCAGAGCCTAATCCAACCGATTCCAGGGCACCATCCCTTCTGGGGGTCTCTCTGATCTGTGTGAAGAGAGAAGATACTTTGATGATGATGATGACAATGATGATCCTAATTACTAACAAAAATGAAACCATTTAATTTATTAAATCACCAACGATAAGAACACAAACTACTATGAGATAGTAACATAAGTGGAGGAGAGAAACATTTTTTATTGAAAACTCTACAATTGACCTAAAGCCATTCAATTGTCCAAATTTGTGTGAGATAACAAAATCATTGGGCATGTCCATTACGTGTCTAATTCACTGAAATGGGGGAATATGCATGTTCCGTTTAAGGTAATTAATGAAAAAAATACTACTTGTTTAGTTCTTAATAGATAAAAGTTATGCAAGAGTCTAACTCATATGGTATCCAAGAATTTTCCCCAATATAAGCAGACCACACACTTGCTTGCAGAATCTTGAAGCAAAAAAACAAAATGACGAGTCAAACTATAACGTAAATATAAAAAACAAAGCATTAATTTAAGATCTGATGTCTAAAACTACATATTTTGCTTGGGAGAAAGCTGTAAATAGAACTTAGAAGGCACAACTCTAAACTAAAACAAACACCATTACAAAAAAGTAGAAAACCAAGACTTAACCTAATGAACGTATGGACTATAGAAAAGATATAATCTTCGATCCATCATAACATGACATATAAGAACACCTGTCCTTTAAAAGAAAAGAAAAGGTAATACAAAAATAAATGTAGTAAATAAGTGTTGGCATGTTGAAATTGTGAATCAGAAACATTACATAGGAACTTAACAAAACAAAATATGTGAGACAATATAGAATCAAGAAATTGAGGAATATGTAGCTAATTAAGGTATAATTAAAGAAGAATATGAATTGAATATCCATGATAAAATTAAAGAGGAATAAGAATTAAATATGAATTTAGGAAACAAACCAATCTACAAACATGATGACTTCAAAACATTTGGTTTACCTTAACCTTGAAAGGATACGTCTTGCGAAGCAGGGGTTCGTCAAGCTCTTTTTGAATGCCAAAACTTCCATGGTGAGATTTGAAAAAAAAATACATGAGTATACAAATAAGACAAACAATGTATTCAAAATAAAAGAGGCCTAGCCATGTCAAGGGTTTAAACAATTTTCTTTTAACTGGATTTTTTATTCCAAATGAAATATGTAGTGGCAAATTGGGAAACTAGCAGTCTCAAAGAATGCAAATGACTAATAATGATACCAATGTCAACTAATCACTTGAGTATATGGACTGTCACTCCGTGTCACTTCACTGTTGTGATAATGCAATTATCAATATGATCACAGTTAGTATTGTAATGTGATCTGCAAACCAGTTGCCAAATTGGCAGATAGAATGTTTTTTTTAAATATGTTGACCAAGGAAAAAGTTATAGATTTGTCACAATCGAATTAAAGCATAGACTGCCTACTGATCAAAATAATAATAAAACAATATAACTTTAGGACTATATTTTTTCTACTTTAACCGTCTTCATCTTGTATATGTCAAAACCCAGCAGCAAATTATTAAATGAAAAACTAAATGCTCATCTCATAAACTAAGGAGTAAATTACTTTTTGCAGAACACACACCTCCTCAAACATGAAGTTCTTGGCAGCACTATGTAAATGTACTTACAATTTCCTCAAGCATGTTCGGATTGAGTGGAGAGGTACAGACGGTAGTATTTACTCCATATATAACAAATTACTATCAAAGAGGGGTTTAAAATTGAACTCTAAATTAAGCAGATTTATACCTCAAGTCTTCTTGATTTCAACTTGAGATTGTATGTCTTCTTATTGTTGTAGTAAGCCATTAATCTGCAATTGTAAAGTTAATTTAAAATGAAACTGATCAGAGATTTGATAAAAATATAAAATAATAAAATACTCCATATACAACAAAATGAATAATACTCTCCTTGCCCTAGTGTTTATAAGACATGAAAAGTAACACATATAAAAATTAAAAAGATTGTGTGATGATATTAGCATTCTTTGAGACTGCTAAAAAGATTTAGTACATGGCCAAATATGGTATAAGACTAAAATAGAAACTTATATGATACTAGTACCTATTAATTTAAAAAACTTTAAATTCAAAGAAATTATATGATGAATTTTCAAAACTAACCACCATCATTTGTATGCACTTTATCAACTCATCCACAATCTACTTCAATTCCTTGTTATTCTGCTCCTAAAACATAGACCTATCAAATTTCAAATCATAAAAAATATGTAAATCATACTTTGAGATTGAGAAGTGTGTTAAGTTTGAGCTTTCACTAACTCATTATTATACTTGATCAAAGTCTTTATCAATTCATGTATTTACAAATTTAAAAATAGAAAAATCTAAAAAAAGTTATACAGAATCAAAAAGTCATGGGTATGTCAGGATAAAGCAAATGAATCAAACTCATGTGAATTCCTTAGAAAAAAATTACAGCATAAATTAAAGGAATCAAATTAGAATTGTCAGATGAAAGTTTAAAGACTCATAATTCTGAATTCTATGGCACTGATCGGAGAAGGAACTAAGGAAAAGAACCTGACTTACGCAGAAGGAGACGAAGGTGACCGATCGAAGAATTTTCCCTTGAACTTTTTACAAAAGAATGCGTGCACTGATATTCCTTGCCTTTTTTTAGTCGGTGAATACGATAGGCCATGGATCTGATTGGCCGGATCGGCATCTAATTATAGAGAAATCGACAAAATCTTTGACACTTTCCTTTGGCGAAGCAGAGACCGTTGATTCCTTTCCTTCGGTGAAGAAATTAATCCGAAAATCAGTGTATTTTTGGAGATAAATCAGGGAGTGGAGATTTAGCCCTGCGAAGAAGACAGAAGACGTTGATTTTGTTTCAGAAAGTCTTCCGTAGTAGGAGCCATAAGCAGAAGACGCGTGGAATCTGAGGTGTCATTAAAATAAAACTAAAGTGCCGTAATCTCCAGACACAAAGAGACTCGAATAGAGAGAGAGAAAGATATAGCAAGGGTTTCCTCGCCGGACAAACACCTCATTGCCGGTGTTTATATATCGGCGAGTCTCAACGCGCGCACGCAACATCGAAGAGAGCACGACTAGGGCTAGCTATCCATAGGTGAGTCGCACCTAACCAAGCACAACCGAACTCAATCTTGAGCGGGTCTTCAAGCTAAGGGTGACGATCGAACTCCAAACATAGATTTAATAGTTTTAATCTATTATCTTTGTCTTATAGTTCGAAACCTGAGGTTATTAATTCTGATAGCCCTAAAAAACTTCAATTTTTGTAAAAAATGACTAATATATCTAAATTAAATCGTTGCAATATACTCCATTCAATTTGCATTGATATAATAAGTCATTTAAATAATTTATCTCTTTTTTTTCTTCGTGATATATGGATATATACTTAGAAGGTCAAAGTACGAAAATAAATCTCCCCGAGTCAAAAAAGAATCATTTTAAGAAAGATAGAGAGTACTCCCTCCGTCCCTGAATAAACTTCCGTTTTTGACTTTTTGGGAAATTAAGTGAGGGATATTTTGGTGTTGACTTTCCAAAATACCCTTGATGTGATGTGTAAAAGTAAGATGTAATATGTAGATTATTAGTAAAAAGGTATGATGTGATAGGTAGGATATGAAAAAGTAAGGGGTAAAAGAGGTTTTTTAAAGAAAAAGAGAAGTTTATTTGGGGACAAAAAAAAACAGAAGAGAAAATTTATTTAGGAACGGAGGAAGTATTATTTAACCATATATATATATATATATGTGCATGCGTTAATTTAGGCCAGTGCGGCTAAGCCAGCTAATTCATTTGAAAGAGTTGAAAGTCGCAAGCACTTATCCATATATACTCCTATTTGCGAGCTTTAATTTGGTGCCAATTGGCATGCAATAAAATATTCTATATAATTCTCTAACCGTATTTACTAATCATAGTAATCAACTATTGTGTGCTCCATCTATTAAAAAAAAATCTTTCTTTATCAGCAAGTGGCCACAACTTATGACTTGTGACCAAGCTGCCAGATTCTATATAAAGGAGACCTAAAAATCGCAATTTACATAGGAAAATTTACATAAACATTGCTACAAATGGCAATTTACGTAGGACAATTTATCATCATCATTTTGGCCTTATTGTGTGCTTCATCATATTCTCATCATGATAATGTAGTGCCAAGTCAAAACATATCTTCTCCTTCATTCACCCGCAAGGACTTCCCTCCAAATTTCCTATTTGGAGCTAGTGGATCTGCATATCAGGTTGCTAGATTCACATATTTACTTTTATATACTCTCTTTATCCCGAATTAATCATCTTAGATTGACTTTAATGGGTTAGAGAAAAGTGTTTAAAAATTAAAAATAATTGTTAAATTTGATTAGATGAACAAGAAAGAATATGGACTACATATTTTTTTACTTTATTAGAAAGTAAGAACGTTATTTTGGGACCTATTAGAAAAGAAAGTGAGACAATTATTTCACATATACTCCCTCCGTTCTCAAAAACACTTCCTCTTTCATTTTTTCCACTTCCAACAAAACACTTCCCCTTTCTATTAAAAAACCACTTTTACCCTTACTTTTTCATACCCTACCTATCACATCATATTTTTTCTCTAATAATCTATCCATCACATCTTACTTTTACCCATCACATCAGGGGCAAAATTGGAAATCAACTACAATTTAATACTTCCTTATTTTTGTCCCCAAATCAAATGGGAAGGGTTTTTCCAAAGGGAGGGAGTATATGTGTAGGTGTGTGTGTGCGCGGGCGCTTCCTTATTCTTTTTTATGGTTTGCATTCCGCAATTGTCTATTCAGTTTTTAATTTTAATATTTTCTACAATTTTTAAAGGAATTTTGTGGTGTCCATTGCGTACGTACCCTAACAACGGTATCATATATGCCTTCCCTTTTTTAAAAGACTTCCCTTTACTATTTCACACATTTGGATAAGTTTTGCTTATTTATTTTTTTACATATTTTATTTGATAAAATAAAATATTCTTGTCATTACTTGTTTTCTAGAACCTGTAGTTTTTTTAAATGAAAGTTTTGAGTTTTGTTTCTATATCAATTTGTAATAATTAATAAAATTATTTTAAAAAATGAAATTTTGTGCGTAAAAATGAGAGAGAATGTGGGTTAAGACATGGAGGGAGTACAAACTATGCATGTTCTAAAAGTGGCTATTTAATAATTTTTCTCTCCTTTTTTTCCCTTCCCAACAAGGCATGCATGGCTATTCCAATAGATAGGTACGTACCAATCTTCACAAAAGAAAAAAAGTGGATTGTTCCTAAATTTCATCTATAGATAGTCTACAAACATTGTTGGTATTTAGAAATATGATAAATCATTACTTAAAAGAGTTATTAATTAGATACCTCTCTCATCAATTCCACAAAATATTTGGGTAGAATTTAGGAAGTAGTAGAGATTATTGGATTTGACCAAGACATTTGAAATGAACCACATTAAAAGATTAATTATTGAATTCAATTGATTAGTAGAGCAACTCGATCAATAACTTATAAACTAATTATTTTCTTTTTTATTTATTGATGTGGGATACTCTAACACTCGATCTCTCTCAAGTATACAATTGAGTCATTTTTAATATAACTGTTTGATCACTTGCAAATGGACTTCAGTTCTCTTGAAACCTATATTTGAGAATGCAGCGGGTTAAATGGGCACCTTGACGAACGAAGTGTACCAGACAAACTTACTCCGATACCATGATACAATTTAATAATAATGAAGACTAAATCAGTGTACAGAGAGAGTACATGCATGAAGAATCCTAACCATAGTAGAATAAAAAATTATGGTAATAATAGAATAAGGAAAGTAAATAATAATACGAAGAAATATATTATATCCTATTAATTCCTAATAAATTTTATTTTTTTCTTTACATCCGTCCAAAGAAACTTTTCAATCATGTTTTAATTTAAATTACTTCTTTACACCTATTAATTATAAACCTACATACCTCAGCTCATTATAGGCAAATTTTTATGTGATCCAAAGATGCATGCGCATTTTATGAATTTTAGTGTAAAAAAATCCACATTTCACATGTATATCTTACGATCACGAAAGATCGAACAACTCCTTATTATATAGATTCATTATTTACTTACCATAGAAACCAACTTTTACAAATGTAGAAATTAAATGTTTTTTTGTGTGGTTGAAAAATATTTTACTTCCATTTCTTAAATACTCGGTATGCATAAGTTCTTTTGAAAAAATGGATAATTAAACTCATTAGGCCTTTGTAATCATTATAAAAATAAATAAAAGAAAAAAGTTTATAATGCGTTTTTCTTAAGAAATTAATGTGTTATTCATAATTATTTGTATGTTTAATTTGTATCAATCATAAATAAAGTTTGAAGGGGCTGCAGATAAAGCTGGCAGGGGACCGAGTATCTGGGACACCTACTCTAGAAACCATTCTGGTAATATAAATGGAAAATGCTGGGGAATCCCATTTGGATACATCAAATGTATACCAAGGCAAAAATAGCCTCACAGAGACACTCAATATCTGTGCATGCACAGATATTGAATATCTGTGTATACCTATTTTTGCCTTGGTATAAACTTGGGGTACCAAGGTAGAATTCTCCTAGCAATTCCCAATACGGAGTATATGTTTGTCTCGTTTTTTCTGAGCATTCAACATTATTTACATACTAAATTATTAGCTCCATGCATAAAAAAAATCATATTTATTTCATTTTGCGAACAAAAATGATCGCATGTACTCTACATTAATTGGTGTTTTACGAATTAAATATTGGTGTTTTACGAATTAAGTATCAATATATGGCCAAATAGCTCTGACACCCCCTGTGGTTTGGAAAATTGGCACCAATACTCTCTCTGTTTTCAAAACTTATTTCTAAAATCCTCGTGGTTTCAAAACGTTGCACCCACACCCCCTATGATCATTTTCCGGTCATTTTCCGGCGAAGAGGGGGCATTGACGCATAATTTCTAAACCATAGGGGGCATTCGTGCTCATTTCTTATTTTCGTTTATTATTCTTCCCTTTTTTAATATTTTCTATCTCTTTTTCCTTTTCCTAGATTTTTTAAAAATATATTTTCAATTTTTTATAATGTTTCAAAAATTTTAAAATTCTTTGTGTTTGAAATAAAAATAGAAATAAAAAATTAACATACATTATTACATCTATCTCAAATTAAACAATTTCACTTTTTAATTTGTTACTTAGAGTAATTTTTTGGAAATTTCAAAAAAAAANGCCTAAAAAAGTCCTTAGAATTGAGATGTCCGAAACGATATTCATTTTTATTTTTGTATTATTTTGTTTCTTATTTTATTCCTCATTTTTTTGAAGTTCTAAAAAAAATTACTTTTTATTTAGAAAAAACAAAATTTGTTAATTTGAGACGTACATATGCATTATATGTTAATTTTTTCAAACAAAAATAACTTTAAATTTTAAGAACATTATAAAAATATTTTTAAAAAACCTTTATTAATAAATGAAACAAAAAAAGAAAAAATGGGAAAAAAAATTGCGAGAAATAAAAATCAGCACAGTTACCCTCTATGGTTTAAAAAATATGCACCGATGCCCCCCTTCTTTACCGGAAAAATGGCCGGAAATTGATCAGAGGGGGCATGGGTGCAGCTTTTTAAAACCACGAGGATTTTAGAAATGAGTTTTGAAAACAGATGGGGTATTGGTGCATGTTTTGCAAACCACGAGGAGTACCAGTGCTATTAGGCATTTAGGCCATCAATATATCCATCCCACTACGATCAATTGATACGTCAATATAATTTTTGGATGGCTAGAGAGAATTTCGGACCACACTACCGGTGACATTGCAATAGACTTTTATCATCGATACAAGGTATGTATGTAATTAACTCGTTAAATTCATTTTTTTAATATATATTTCATCCGTTCTTGAGTATTTAGTTACTTTTGACTTTTTCCAGTTAAAATTGGTGAATTTTGATCTCAAATTAAATAAAAATGATACTTCCTCCGTCTAAAAAAGATTTACACGTTTCATAAATTTTTTATCCCATAAAGAACTACACTTTTTCTAAAAAGGACATTTCTACCCTTAAACCTAATATCTACCCAACCCTAAAACCCCACCCACTATTATACTAGTATGTGTACTTCACTTGTTATAATATCTTGCTTTACACTATTCATGGAGTTGATTGTATTCTTACTTTTACATTAGGGTAAGGGGTAATATGGGGAGGTCAATGGAAAAATATATTTTCCTTATTTTGATTAAAAGTCAAAATGTGTAACACTTAATGGAAAGGAGTATTAGATATTGAAACAAAAAATATTTATTATATTTATTGTATGAAATATTTTCAAAATATTATTTTATCTAATTAATATACAATATATATTTTATTTAATTACGAGTCAAAGGTTAGAAATGCTTAACTGAAACAAGTCAAAACTGAACAAATACTCCAGGGATGGAGGTAGTATATTCTTTGCATAGTATTAAATGAAGAATAAATTCTCAAAATCACATTTAATAATTATGTGTTTTCTCAAATTAGTTCGCAAATGAACATATTATCAAGCTGACAAGATGATACTCGCCAATTGAGAATAATACTCAATTTAGTTCACCCGACTAACGAGATCAAAACAACGATCAAACTCATATAATTACTAATTCTTCAAAGTGATCCTTTCTAATTGAGTGTTTTTCCGAATTAGTTATTTTTTAAATAAAAACATACTCCCTCCGTTTGGAAAAACCCTTCCCATTTGATTTGGGGGCAAAAATAAGGAAGTGTTAAATTATAGTCGATTTCCAATTTTGCCCCTGATGTGATGGGTAAAAGTAAGATGTGATGGATAGATTATTAGAGAAAAAGTATGATGTGATAGGTAGGGTATGAAAAAGTAAGGGTAAAAGTGGTTTTTTAATAGAAAGGGGAAGTGTTTTGTTGGAAGTGGAAAAAATGAAAGAGGAAGTGTTTTTGAGAACGAAGGGAGTATTAAATATGAAAAAAATAATTATATTTTTTAGAATGAGAATATAATAATTAAATCTATATATATAGTTTAGTAAATTTGAAAGTATATATATATATATATATATATATATATATATATCTTTAATAAAAGGTTCCATCCATTTTGAAATTAGAATCCTACTTCGTACTACGATGTGTGACTAAAGTTATTTTCAAATAAATATAACTGAAAGTTGGTCTAGAATTGTCTGTTAACATGAGTCTTATTTTGGGACGAAATGAGTATTTTGAATTGAGATTCAGTTTCTAAAATAATACTCCCTCCGTCCCAAAAAGATTTACACGTTTCAAAAAAATTGCGTCCCATAATCCCTTACCCATTTCTATTAAAAAACCACTTTTACCCCTTACTTTTTCAACCCTACCTATCACATCATACCTTTTTCCTAATAATCTACACATTACATCCTACTTTTACCCATCACATCAAGGGTATTTTTGGAAAGTCAACACAAAATTATATCTCCCTTAATTTCAACTTTAGTCAAAATGGGTAACACTTTATGGGACGGAGGGAGTAATTTTTATAAAAATAAAATATAAATTTTATATTTACGTAAAATTGAGTTCAATTATTATGGAATTACAATGACTAGATAGTACTATATTAGTCCTCAAATAGTGCTCATGTTTACAATTCAAAGTGTCAAACTAAATCTATTTTCTTAATATGTACATTTTCATCAATCATTTTTTAAAAATAGTCATATCACCACTTAGTAATCATATCACCACTTATTTTGTAAAATTTCTTGTGTACGTTTTTTAATACATAATTTTTTAAGTTCTAGACAAATTTTCGGTCATAATTTTTTGAAAATAACTTCTGTAACACATCGTAAACAAAAACATGAGCCTTAGTCCAAAATAGAGAGAGCAAGTACATTAAATTTATAATTATTATATATTTTTTTTACATGACATTCTTCTAAATAATTATAAACAATGTGAAAGGTTTATTTTCTAATTTATAAAATTACATTATACTTTATTTATTATATTCTCATCTTATACTCCCTCCGTTTGGAAAAACCCTTCCCACTTTGATTTGGGGGTAAAAATAAGGAAGTGTTAAATTATAGTTGATTTCCAATTTTGCCCTTGATGTGATGGGCAAAAGTAAGATGTGATGGATAGATTATTAGAGAAAAAGTATGATGTGATAGGTAGGGTATGAAAAAGTAAGGGTAAAAGTAGTTTTTTAATAGAAAGTGGAAGTGTTTTATTGGAAGTGGAAAAATGAAAGAGAAAGTGTTTTTGAGAACGGAGGGAGTACAATTTAAAATTACTTTTTCATATTTAATGAGTTTTATCTTGAAAATTGGACCATTTTGGAAAATTAGTATATGTCTTAACGTCGTTTTAGCATTGTTTTGATGGTTGTTAGTCGGAAAACTAAATTGAGCATTATTCTCAACGTTACTAACGAAAAAATACATAGTCGTTGATTACCATTTTTGAAAAGTTACTCTTAAATGAATTTAAGTTAATTATTTGTTGTCAGGTATATTGTTTTCTTTTTCTATTAAAAGCTTGTGAGATCGATACCCATACATATGTATCTGGAATATCATGTGCTCGAATTAATTTATATTTTCTTGTTTTCATTGTAGATTTAAAAAGAATAAAGAAGAAGAAATCATTTATAGAGTTCAACTACGCATTATTAATTTTTTTAAAAAACTATTATATAAATTTTTAAAATTATTCCCCATGTTTTCCTTTTATTACTTATCAAAAAACATTTATTTAAATTATAATACATGTACATTATTATTAAATCTACAATTTTTATTACTAAAAACATATGATATCTAATACTCTCTCTTCCACTGTTTTTATTTTTTTTTACTATTTTTGTCTGTCCCACTGTTTTCTCTCATTCCATATACTCCCTCCGTCCCAAAATATTTGCAACATTTGCTTTTTCAGCAGTCGCGGGAATTTTTGTTTATTTCTAAGTTTTAGTTGGTTATTTGATAAAATAAAATATTCTTGACACCTCTTATTTCGAAGAACTTTTCATGTAGTTTTTTGATATGTAAATTTTATTTTTTATTTCTATACCAATATATAAATAAAATGAATTGAAAAAGCTTGATATTTTGCTTCGAGAATACAAGTGTGATAAATATTTAGAAACGGAAGGAGTATATTTTGTTATATTTGTGAGCTCCACATTCAATCTACTTTATCTTACATTTTAATACACCGGACTATATATCATTACCAACCATACACAGTGGTGGAGCCAGGAGGTCACTAGTGGGGGGGGGGGGGGG